AACATTTGCAAGAAAAGAACCAAGCTCAGAGAACCCCAAGGACTCCACAGTTCAGCCCTGAACTACAAATATTTGCCTCTATTAATATGGGCTTTACTCAACCTTTTATGTGATAGAGATTATAACATTTCAGTTGTTCTAGATTCAGCCTAAACATAGTTATTCCAATGACCAACATGTAAATTCAGATACTGATTATCATTTATGTATTCCTGATCTTCTGAAATCAGATTACTCTGACTTCATAGACTATTCATAAACATCCTAAATGAGAATTAGGACACAATCTGAGCATCCCAGCAAGCATGGCCAATAGGAAGAAGTGGTGGGAGTTGTTGTTCAGCACTATCTGGAAGGCCATACTTCTGCTGTTACCTGTACTACTAATGCAAGGAAAGGTCTCTGCTACAATTCTATCAGCACAACTTCTGTGAAAGAGGTGGACGACGAGAAACAAGTGAACTGAAAAAGGACAGGGCACCAAAATGCATTAACTTAAAATAACCTCCCTAATATTTGATCGAGTGTCTATTTTTCTTTTATTTAGTGATAAATGTTATTGCTAAAGTAAAAAAAAATGGCACTAAATAATTATATAATAGACCCAAAGGCATTAGCGACTGGGAAATAAATGGAAAGAGTGACCTTTTACATATGCTCATCTATTGAAAAGGATCAAGTGATTTACAATTTTTATCATCATTTTCTCCCCTGCTGATTAAATATCAGAGAAAGAAGAAAGCATTCAGGGTGTTTACCTAATTTCCTTTCAAATTAAAAAAAGGCATCACCACACCACATAATGGGACGGGATAAAAAGGGAAATGCCTGCTTTGGAGCTCATGAACTGGGATGAAGAACTCAAGCTCAAGGTATGGCCATGAGAGCTGAAGAGCCATGTGGGTCTCTGGGGTAACTGCTGCCCTCCCAACTGATTATCCCCCATGCCAAATGGTAGGGCTGTTACTAAAAAATGGCTATGTGGGACTCATTTCTGAAAGGAAATGGAATAATAAGGTGTAAAGTTTGCTTCATTTTGAATATTGGTTCTACCATTTCATATAGAAAGGGAGTGGAGTAAATGTATCTGTTTCAAGTCACTGCAACTTGGGGGTGGTAGTTGGCCAGGCAGATGGAAGAAATTTAGAAAAGAGTAATTTTACCTGCTCAAGATAGCTTCCCTTCAACTCTTCTCTGACCAAGCCAAAAGAAGAGCTGAGTAAGTCTGTCCCTTTTCTGTTATCACTGACCATTTTGCCATCTTTGCTGAGGAGTTGCTATGTCATTCTTTTTCTTACCCTTTCAGTTTCTGAATGTATCTGAAGTAGCTCATTTTGTTGTTGGCATCCTTCCTTAACCTCAGTGCATTTTGAGTTTCGGTTTTCCTGTTAGCATTTCTGTAAATCTGGGCCACCTGTCTGCCTCTGTTCTTCCTTAATAAACTGTCACCTCTTATGTATGTCTGTGATCCTCACCAACTTTTTGTCCAGTCATATTGTTTTCTTTCATTATCTTCCTTTTTAAAAAAAAAGAAAAAAAACTCATTGGGATTGTTTGCACTTGCACTTTTAGTATCTTCTTTTTAAGGAACTCCTGCTAATCTTGGCTCTTTTTTCATTAGCTTCTTCTCCATGGAATCCTACTCTAAGTTTATTAAAATAGTTTTCAATTGCATTTGATCATATTAAGGGTTAGCTTGCCTTAATACCAAGACTCCAACATTATCTGCCTGCTTTCCTCCAAAATTCACACTATATCTTCTACATCAGTTAGGAATAAGTCAAAGACAGCTGATCCTCCATCCTCTCAAGGAGAAAGTTGTCAGCAAGTCCACAAATTTAACATCTGAAAATGTGAATTTGTCTGTACTGAATATAAGTGCTAAACTGAGCCTTTAACAAACAACAATACCTTTCGCAGTTGGGTCCCACTCTGTTGATTAGTTTTTCCATGGCTTCTTCAGTCTCTCTCAGTTTATCTTGAAGCTGAGCAAGTTCATAATCAGCTGTAATATAAACACAGTTCCAGGAGGGGTCAGTAGCTGCAGCTGAGACAGTTCAGTCCATTAAATAAGAATGGGTTGTCTTGAATGTACATCAAGCAAAAAATGGAACTTGTTCTGAACTGTGAATGCTGGTAAACAGAGCTCTCTTTTATTCTTTCCAATCAGAAAAAGGGGGAAAGGGATTATCCCTAAAGCTAGAAGCAGCATATATAATACAACACAATAGTGAATTTAAAAAGAAAAGGCAAGAGAAAATGCAAATGATCTTAGATGAGATTAAAAAAAGGAAGAAGAATGAAAAAAATCTCCAGGGATGATAACCATAAGTCACCAAATTAAGCTTTTACAGAGGCAATTATCTATGTTAACAGTGAGAGAGATAGGAATAAAGATAAACTATGCAAAACAAAGAAGTTTTGAATTTGCAAATAAACCAGGGAGATGGTTGGCATACAAGTTGTGAAAAGAGAAAGAAAAGAAAGTGAGATTAAAGTTACAAGAAGGGAATACTGTAATAACAGATAATGTGAGTATGCAAAAAGTGTTTCATCAGCATTATACTACTTTATACAAAGGTAAAGACATTTCCTTGGAAAAAGTGGATGAATACTTGCACAAACAGAATTTACCAAACATTACAGATAGAGACAAATTTTGAATGGACCTATAACAATAAGGGAGCTGTGTGAAGCTATCAGAAGACTAAAACAGGAAGGGTATCTGGTCCAGGTGGGTTGCTGGCCTCTTACTATAAATGTTTTGAAGATGAGTTTTTACAGCCTTTACAACAAGCAATGAATATTATTTTGCAGAATGGAAAGATTCCTGATAGTTGGAAGGAGGCTAAAATAACGTTAATACCTAAAGAGGGTCAAGATTTGACTTTAACAAGAAACTATCAACCAATATCTTTATCGAATAATGATTACAAACTGTTTACCATGATTTTGGCTGAAAGGTTAAAAATAATTTTACAGGAGTTTATTCATGAAGATCAATGCAGGTTTTTACCTAAAAGACAACTACAAGATAATATTAGAAATGTTTTGAATAGTCTGGAATACTTGGAGCAACATAATGAAAGCTGCACTGATATTCTTAGATGCTGAGAAGGCCTTTGACAATTTGAACTGGATTTTTTTGTTTAGAGTTCTAGAACATATTAACCTTGGAGATAATTTTATTAAATGGGTAACGTTGATTTATACTTCTCAGAAAGCACAAATAATTGTTAATGGAGAACTAACAAAACCTTGTTAGATTCAAAAAAGGGCAAGACAAGGATGTCCACTGTCTCCACTTTTGTTCATTTTGGTTCTTGAGGTACTGAATAGAGACATAAGACAAGATCAGAGAATTATGGGAGTTAAGATTAAAAAAGAAACCTATACGTTAAGGGCATTTGTGGATGATTTGGTGTTAATTTTAGAAGATCACTAGGGGGAGTAGAAGCATTAATGGGAAAATTAAAGGACTGGTATATTAGCAGGTTTCAAGATTAATAATAAGAAGACAAAGAAGTTAACAAGAAATATGAAATTAGAAGATCAGAAATGAAATTAGAAGATTAAATAGAACTGATGGAGAAAACTGGCTTTAAGATTGAGAAAAAACTAAAAC